GATGAGGACGCTGTCATCGGCATTTCTTCCTCATGCCAGCTCGGCGTCAATCCATGCACGTCATTACTCACATTTTCATTGACGCAACTAGCATTGTCCATCGTAGGCTCTACAAAAGCATAGATACGCGTGCAGGGATCCCACCCAATCCGAAATTTGCTGACGAGCCTCATCTCTTGAAAAGTATCTTACTTGGACGGCAGGAGCGCTGGGACGTGGAGATACGGGCGAGATTGGGTTGTGTGAGTTGCCGCCGAGCTGCAGGCTCGGCTAACAAAAGAAATACATCTGTTTCACGGTAAAAAAAATTGAGAATTTTGGCAAAGCGGATCAAGGAGGTCAGGCGACAGTCCCTACATCAAGGCCCGATTTGCATCGCAGGGAGGGAGACCTGGTTTTCTAGAACACCTGAGCAAACAAGGAACAGCCGTTCAGTGTCATTGTAGAACCATCAGCACGCCTCCGTCCACGGCACAGAAAACGATCAAATTCTCGCAATGCACCTTCCAACATATGCAGATGCCTTAGAACTGCGCCTTTCCCGGCGTCGACTTCGTCCATACGCCACCAGCATTCGAAAAAATCCCTTCATTTCATCAGAGAGTTTCGACCATGCAACCGCATGCTACATTAGCTATCAATTCAGATTTTGAACATTGTGAAAACGAAGGTCGTTATTATTCCGCTTCTCACCAATCATTCTGATGGTCTCGTGTCTGGCTGTATGACAGGGCCAAGATCGCTCACCTCTGGCCTGCCGGGTGGAAATTTTGATCGCATTTATTTTATTTTTTCACGCCTGTTCTAACTTGCCTAATTCATCTTTACAATGCGCTCTGGCTTTTCAAAAGTCCCCGCATCATCACTTCTCCTTGAGAATGGGGTCTGCTGCGTTTACCAGCCGTCCAACCAATCCAATCTTCTTCTCTATTATGCAGGAGGCTAAAAAAGATCCTGTGGTTGGTTATATCTTCACAAGAAGTCGGGCTTCCTAAGGTCTTTTGGTTCCCCCCTCTGTAGAATGATAATATCCTTGACGCAAGCGTCGACTGTGGGGGCTTGGGAATCGTCTGAGGGAGGAAGGGCAATGAGATCACCTATCGTCACTCCCAATCCGTTAATGGTGACGATCATGTCCTGAGAACCCCGGTAGTGTGGGTCTTTCTTCCGTGTGAGCCGCAACACCAAGCTCAGGGGAGCTTCTCGTTTCCCCTTCCGGCCTGGACCGCCAGTAACGAAAAGACTTGATGTAAAGCCAGTTTCGGGTTGTGCGTGGCGAGAAATGTAGCCTGCCGGACGCAAGCCAGCCCTTCTGAGCCGCGCCATAATGAATGGAATGATTTGATTTGCGTGAGGCACGGCATCGTCTTCCTGCTTGTCTCCGGCTGGGGTGATTTTCTTCAGCTTGGGAAAGCGTCGGAGAGAGCGGTCCGCCATGATGTTCCCATCAAATGCGTTCTTAAAAGACCGAAGGGCGAGGACCTGTTGTCTGGCCGGGATGTAAGACATGGGAGCAATACGGAAGATGCCGTCTAGGAGGCCAACCAGGAGAGTAGAGGCAGTACTGGTATTCTGAGGCATATAAAACCACTCGAACAAGCTGCTAGCTGTGTGGAAAAGCATCAATCCTCTTTCTTCTGGAGAGATGTCACTATCGGACTTTGTTTGTGGTATAAAGAAGTGGCAAAATTGGTTCTGCCTGGTTGAATTAGTTTCAAATCAGGATGGGGATGATCAACCTTAGAAGCGGGGAAGACGTCAGCTGCAACCAGATAAGTGGTGTGTAATAAGATCAGTTTTCACTCGATTCGGCCAAATGGCTTGTTGTAGAGCCAACAGTCACATGCATCCGTTTTGGACCGCCACTCGATTGATCATGATCGTCCAGAGGCAGTTTTACGTTGACATGACTTTGCTCCGCTCCTCCTCGAATCGCGATGCGTCTTTGAAAGACCTTACACCAGCTCCTCGTCGGCCTTGTGCTTCTTTCCTTTTTTCTTCTTCTTCTTCTCCTTTAAAACGGAGAAACTGACCCATGGATCACTCATCTCGGCTGTCTTGGGCTCTGAATCACAGCACTGCTCTCGGGTACTGTACTGTCGGTCGATGGCTTGCGAGTAAGCAAAAACATACGGGCTGGGCGTGTGAAGGTCACGAGGCTCAATGGTGTCCATAGGACAGAGAGATTCTGGCTAGTTGGGCACATCCGCCACCTGCCTGAAGATCCTAGGGAAGTTCGGGGAAGATTGAAACAGTCTCACAGCGATATTGTGTGACCAGATGATCAGCGGTTTCATCATATCTCCATCATCTCCCCATCGACTCCCGTCAACCCGTCCATATAATGAAACACTCGGTCGGCTACATCTGGTTATTTCCTGTCACATGAGGGCCCTCCCTAATCGGTTCCGGAACGAAAACATGTGAGTAAAGGGAGGCACGCAAACCATCGTCCTTCGTGCAGGGAACGTGTTTTGGTAATCCAGTTTATTTTTTTTTAGAGCTCTGTGTGATCACAGGCAATTGATTCCCTAAGTCTTTCGTCAGTACTCTACTCACAGACACACACACACACACACACACACACACATATATATATCGCCTGCCCCCATCGTGGTAAATACTTCACAGTTTTCTCTCCACATGCTATCCTTCCGTTTTTCCTCACAAATTTTCTTACCCCCTTCTCTGTAACTTCATTTCTACTTGTATGGCAGAATTCTCATTATGATTGCGGTTTCTAAAGATTCACCATTACAAGTAATTAAATGGTATGTTTTACAGTAACTTCACACTACTTTAAAGGAATTATCATCAGATTGCAAAGAGTATGAATGCGTTAAAAATACTCTCTGATCATGCCTACTCGCGATTTTCGGATGGCATTGTCCGCGCATCGGTTTTCATGCTGGATCCGGAACACCCTCCAAAGAGCCAAATAATAATCGATGCCAGCGTCGGACAGTGGATTAAGCTCTCAGCTGCGCAAGTCATTTCCCAGCAACCTGTTCGGCGACAGATCAAAGGGACCATCAATCAACTCAGTGGTATTTTCAAGGGTCTTTGCAACATCGACGAGGATATCATAAAAGCTGTGCTTTGCTTTACCCGTGGGAGACAAATGCTTATCCCGTGCGAGAATTGTCGGCACAATAACACAACTCCATTCGATAAATGTGTGGTTCTAAACAATCGCCTCGGATTGCACAACACGTGCGCCAGCTGTCTCCTCCACGGAACCGGTGGAACATGCGAGTACACAACTTAGCAATACGAATTCATTCGCCAAGCTTGATGGTTGTCTGGAGTTGGGAACAGAACTAAAGGCAACACAGTGTACTTCACCCGCCTACCGAGAGCGCAACGAGGACGTTGCACTCTGCAGAAAGGTCTTTTTTTATGCAAATATCAGGGCTATAGTCGGGTCATCCTTGATATTGAATCGTGGACGTTATAACACTACAGGATTGAATCAGTCACTCGTAATGGCAGACGCGTAAGTTGTATGTCACTTCGCGCATTCACAGGCACTAATTTGGTCAATCCGGATTACAGGAGTTCTTACTTCCCCGAGGCATACGACTCACTGCCTAGCCTTGCCCAGGCTGAAGCAAATTACTTCACCGGATCAGTCGGAGAGCAGATGAAAAAGATCAGGAAGCTTTTCATCGAGGAACAAGTACACGAAGTCTTTGGTGTTCTCCTACTGCACCGGCACTTCCCAATCGAGCCAACTCATCGTCTCGTCGAGATCAGCCCCCTTCTCAAACCCTTATTCTTCTATCAGGACAAAGGAAAGGGCAAGCTTGCAAATGAGGATAGCCTTATACCGAGGTCATATCGTGTATTCGGCGAGAAATTTGTTGCCATCGATTTCACCCTTAAATTAGACTCGTCTACGAAAGCCACCACGTCTATGAAAGCCACGTCGTTTACGGATGCCAATGCGGCATTCTTTGTGAAAGCTGCCAAGCTGTTCGCTGAGCTTGAAGTGGAGAAAACACTAGGCTTAAGGATCCTAGAATACACGAGCGAATATTGGGAGTTTGGTTGCACAATCGGAGACAAATTGGCTCATATGGTCCCTTATGCTAAATTCCAAGGCGATGCTAACGTTGTGGAGACGGTCTGGAGATTTAACGATGATGTAAACAAAGGCATCGAATGTGTTGAATACGGCAGCGGCAAGAAGTCTCAAGAGCTTGCCCCGAAAGAAGACCTTAAAAGAGTTGTGCTTGAAAGCCACCGTCTTTACCATAATTAATCGGTCACCCTACATTCTTTGAAAATCTCGTACCTATTGGGCTTTCGCGTGAAATTCGGTCTCTGCTCAGAGCCCAGAAGACTTTTTTCTTCTCTCTTGCCCTCTAGTTCCGTTGATTTCCGCATTGACCGATCTCAAACTCAACTATTCCTCTACCTCGGGTCCGAGACTCGGAGTGGTTGCAGCAGCAGCTTGGGCAATCAGGGCCCATCAGCGCGGCCTTCGTGACGAAATTTGCCTTTGAGGAGTACTCAACCCCTACAGCGTTTGGCCACTCTATTATGGTGGGTAGCCCATCAGCTTGACAAACACGTCGTCTAAACTTATCTCAGGTTGTACCTCGAGCGTCGGCCGTTGTGCCAGGTCAAGCGGACGCTGGGCCGATCGTCATTCATGCCGACCACAGCAACATGGTCAAATTTGACTCGCAGAAAGATGTGTGATACGAATCTGTGTCGGAAGACATCCAAATTATGATAAAGACAGCTCCTGAAAAAGTCCAGTCACGATGAAGGAAGAGGAGAGGGTTGATCAAGGTTAGCACTGTCGATACCTCGCTCATCAATACCTAACCGTTATTCTTGCTCGTAGCTCGAGACAAAAGTCTCTCCAGTAGATTCTATCTTCCACTTGACCTCTCCGAACTTACAGTGATACAGACCTTTGTTGGAAGGACAGAAGAGCTCAAGATGCTCCACCAGATCCTAGAGAAGCCGAGTGGGCGCCGCACCGCTGTCGTACACGGCCTGGGCGGTATGGGAAAGACCCAGCTGGCTGTTACATGTTTGAAGACCTACCAGTCCGGAAACTCTGCAATGGCTTGGTTGAACGCGAGAGATGAGGAAACTTTGGGACGAAGCTTCGCACGCATGGCTAAATGGATCATGCGCCAGCACCCTCGGGCCACCTACGTCCGATCGGCCGTTGATGGACGAGACCTGAATGACATCACAGAAGCAGTGAAGCGATGGGTCGATGAGCCGAAAAATGACGGCTGGCTCCTTGTCTACGACAACTATGACGACCCCAAGTTGAACAGAACGCACTAGAGCGAATTCACCAAGAGCGCGACAGGACACGGACTTGCAGCAGGGATCGTGACAGAAATGCCGGGTAAGGCGTATGATATTTCGACCCTACTTTCCCAACTCCTACCAGGGAGCAATTCTCGTCACCATGAATCAGACTGTATTAAATTGTAATTGCCAATCGTTCCTGCCTCTGTGAAAAGTCCTCCGCAACCCACTCTTATATCCTCCGTCGGTTTTCCTGCAAACAAAACTCAATAAACCCTGCTTCACTAAGCATTCATTGAGAAGCTAAGCTGATGAAATAGCCGACTCGCATCTCTTTCGTTGTTCTTCCTGGTCCAGTGCGGCTTTGAATATTATGGAATCGGCCTTGTCTTTCTCCCATAAGATTTGTAGAATTTCTCTCGGAACCCAATTCTTTTCTAGGCTACCTTCTCGTGTATTCCAACTGATGAGGATGAAGACAGAGACCCTCTCATCTCTCACTTGTCTGGGGTCGATCAAGGCCAAATCATTTTCCCGATGCTTGCATGAATTGGGATCTCCCCAGGCCACCGCATATATGCTCCAGACGTGGCACATGCTGTTGTACCTCTGTTTGTTCAAAGCAACGTCACCTACATGGGCTACACGACGGTCCCCCGGAGGCTTTTCTTGGTACTGGACTGACTGGGCGAACTTCTCCAAGTGATAGGTCATGTCTCCGTTCTTCCCGTATCTGTTTATAAAAAGGGTGGGGTTACAACCCTGAATAGCTCTGTTTCTTCCATATCGTTTGGTCCATCCGACAGTTTCAGGGTCCTTAAATAGACTCGACGAATCATCCGCTTTTCCCGGTCTGGGGTGGCTGACGAAGGCCGAATGGTGGGCCGAGCTGGTCGCGGCATCTAGTCGTTCTGCTTCACAAAATAGCTCACATCTTGCCTGAATTGGCTGCAATGGCTTGCTTTGGCACTCGGTATGATTTGCGCAGGGAACCTCGCACTGAGCATTCAAGGTGTACTGCAATGGGCAGTCGAACTTGACGGGTGGAAGCCACCGGCACATGATCGATGCAAACTTGCCTTCCGGCTGCAAATTGAAAGCTCTAGCGGATTGGGTGATTACCTTGTAGAAAGTCTGAAATCTTTTGCTGGCGTTCTGGGTGACAAGAAGTGCTTGCTGTAGTCTGCTCCTGGTTGTCAATTCCTCCGGAAGTGCTCGGTGGTTCACTTGAATCTCATATCTTCTCTTCTTTGGCCACGTTCTTATACTGTGGTAGTTGTAGTGTGAAGCACTCCAGTAGACCGTTTCTAGGCCACTCAAGTGCCTCAAAATGTCACCACCGTAGTGGCGCAGTCTACAGTGGCTTCATTCACAGTTCAGGGGCACGGATTAGGTCCCTGCAGATCTATTATTACCAACAACTGAATGCCTGTCGTGTATCTTGGTGCATCATAGTTCGTCAGTTGTATCTCTAAATGCATGCAATTATCTTACTTCGCGCCCAAATTGAGGCCAAAAGTGATTTCTTTTGGGCCACATCGGTAGTGCGGTCGGGGATCGTCTTCCATAATATCGCCACAATAACGAGCATGAATGCCTCTCACTGCAGGAGTGCCATAGTTCTCCGCCACAGACAGTTTAGAATTGGGACTTTAACATGTGCTCGGTATGCGGAGCTATAACTCCGGGTCACCTTCGGGTTATAATCTATTCACAAGCATCATAGCCTTCACTGATCGACACTAGCCCTCTGGCTTGCTCTTAAGTTCGTCGACTTGGGCAGCCAGTCAAGCGGCGTGAACGTCCCAATCTCGACTTCTTGATTTTTTTTCTTTTCCTCCTCTTTTCTTCTCTCAGGTCAGAGCCTGAAGAAGACAAGCATGTGGTTCTAGTGCGAACGGGAAGTGTACCTTGAAGGCAGACCATGAAAAAGGGCACCAGGGTCTTAAACCCCCTTTTGCGATAGGGATAACGATGCTGAGCTTCTGTGAGGAACATTTCGTTTGTAACGAGGAGCTCTCCGCTAGCATGATGGTTTCAGAGAACTCTCGAGAGGTGGGTATGCACAACTGCCATAATCGCCTAGAGATGGGCATTTCGTCGCACCCGAGAGTGGTTCGCTCTGCGCAGACTGCTGCTGCTGATACTTCCTCGTCAAATACTGTACAGTACCTGTGATAGGTGTGACTCATCGAGCTGATGACAGATCTCGGAGCTTTGACTGAACTCCGTGGTCTATTCCATATGCAAGATTCGATTGGACGTCGTGATACCCACTCATGGTCAGTGACTGGTATATCATTCATTCCACCCAATGAAATCGAACGGTGAAGGAACTCAAAGATGTTGCCTTGGTGCTTGTTAAAGAGGTTGTGGCCATCGCTGCCTAGAGCTTAATTGGCAAGGGAAATTAATTGTACCTTTGACGAGTAGAGACTCATTGGCGGCTTTGGTGACTAGTCACATATTCATAGCTCAGACATCGTGATGCCCATGTCGGGCCTGCGTCTGGGGCCTAGGTGGCTAAATTCATGTAGGGACGAGTTCAAGCTCTCATTTCGTCATTAAGCCTGTCTAATTTTAGGTACAATTAATTTCCCTTGCCCATTAAGCTCTAGGCAGCGATGGCTTGTTCTGCATTGAGAGTGCTATTTCGTATCTAGTCAACGAGGACGGCCAGTTCCGGTAGTGGAATGAATACCCATTACAAGGTCTGCGGGGCAGAGCGCGGATTGATCACGCCGGTAGGCTCAGAGCCACTCAATCACCATCTGTCATACCTCTTAATAGCGAGGACCCAAAGCAGTCGCAGGTGCAAGGAAATGTATTTTGAAGGCCGTTCCACATCCTGACCTGCAATATCTTTGAAACCATGGACAGGTCTTGTATTGGTCCCTCCCTCACTGGGCTGGTGTGGCCCAATATGCAGCGAAGGGCCAACCTCGATTCCCGAATAGGGTCCTAAAGTGGTCTGCACTTGACCGTCGCCAGCCAGTACGTCTAACACGAATATATAAAAGATAAAGCATAGTCTGCATGGAGTTTGAGCCTATCTGAAATGCTCAACCGTCCCAACTAACCAAGTTTGATTCCATAATAGCGTTACAAACATGTGGAGAGTTTGGATTGTGATGGGTTGTCTTTTGTTAAGTTTTCCAGGATCAATTCTTCGTCCGAAATCGATAGACTAGTCGTCATCAAATCCTTGGCTTGCCATATGGTTGCCTCAGTCTTATAGCAATAAATGCGCATTGCAATTCGACAACGCGGTCACAGCGTCAGACTTCATCCAATTTCTTGTTTTCGCCCAAGTTCGCTGTGGCTAGCGTATCACACAATACTCAAAATGTATTAATAATAGCTCAAACCGGAGTCGAGGAGACATAGCCGTCGTGAGGATACAACATTGAGACTTGCCACACGTCCAACCTGCTTTGTTGTAACTCTGACAATGGTCACACTCCAAGCAGACTTGACTCGATTCAAGCTTCACAATAATTCAAGGCAGTGAAAGAAATTGAACGGATGGAATTTTATTCCAAGAAATTAAATGTCAAGAAAGACCACAGCAAACGATTTAAGTTAGTCAAACCTTCGGTAAGTATCGGTGCCGCACTCAGAGTTGACAGTCTCCTCGAATGCGTCGAAGAAGGACTTGTCCTTCTCTTCAAAACATTGCTCTTCCTGGTCACGTTCGGCCACCACGCGGTTGCCGGTACCCGCTGTATCCGCCAGGCCCGTCTTATATCCGTTGTGACTCGTCATATAATCCCACGTTGTACCTGCAGTATAGAACCGCTCGTCGCTGTCGTTGGTGGCGATCCGATGGTTTGGCGTTTCGTTCGGGTGTGGGTACGGGAAGTTTGTGCAGAAGATGTGAGAGTTGTACTGCAGCGGCCATGTTCTCACTGGCGCGTCGTCGTGGCCAGGCAGATGCCCGCCGTTGATCGAGAGGGTCGCCTTGAGCAACGCGTTCTCAAGGCTTACTTCCTGGAGATCGCGCTTCAGCCTCTCGTTCTCAGAGGCAATCTTGTTCTGCGCGGTTACCAAGGAGGCCACCTTCGCCTCGAAGTCTTTGACATGCTGCGCTTTCCGCTTCCTGAAAGCTCGCTGACTGCAACAGTGGACAATATATCAGCAAACACATGTGCAGAGGCCCAAGACGCAGTGCGAAAGCGGGAGATTGTCATCCGCTCCCTTTTTGTAAAACGAACTCCTGCGGATTACACCGGATGTGTTAGCACTTACGCATCACGATTCTGAGCCCTGCGCCTTGACTGAGCAGTTATGGTCTCTCCTGGGCTCAGGCCTTTGCAGTGAGCATCAGGATCCGCAATTGGCTTCGGTTTAGTACTCAGAGATGATCCATCATCTGCAGGTGGGCGTCTGACTCTGGCGGGAGCAGCAAGATCTACGCCGTGTTGTATATTCCATGAGCCACTGTGACCAGTGATGTGCCGATTCGTTGAAGTGGGACGCCCGGAAAAGGTAGAAGTCGGATCACACCGAGCTGCGCTTCGATCGAAATTCTGGTGTTTCTCGTTCGGGCGGTAGTTGAGGCGTCCTACGTAAGGGATACGTCAGTCATGTGAGCAACGTCAACAACCGGCGATGGGGGATCGCAGAAGAAGACTAAAAGGGTGGATCGTGTGTAGCCACAGAGGAGACGACGAGTGGTAGCTGCTGAAGACTCACTGATTGCAATGTGGTGCTGAAGTCTTCGGAGCCAGTAGAGTTAGAACGTGCGAATTTCAGAACAGGAATGCTGATGGGAGACTGGTGATACGGCTCTTGAGTAGCCACGAAACAGTCCGTCTGCGAGTGATCCATGTTTGCCCGCGAATCGAAAGCTTCAGGATGCAATGCTTCTCTCTTATGCGATGTATAAGGAACCGCAAGGGCGGTCCTTGACGAGAGTGAATGTGTGTCGCTGGTCATCGATGCATCGTTGTGGGTTTCCGGTCGGAAGCAACAGGCCGAAGTACGGCTGAGCCTTCGGTGTGAGCTGCGGGTGACGGGGAGGGGAAATTTATACCCTGGAGCGTGCCTGTGTGCCATGCTATTCGTGATTGCCGGGACACTGAAAACTACGAGAGGCCGCCATTTGGTATGAAACCCTGCCCCTGACCTCACCAAGTCGTAGCACGTCCTTCATATTGCAAGCATCGAGATCATGCCATCTGATTCATTCAATTACTTCAGCACCTGCTGTAAAATCTTACATTGCTATCACCACAAGCGAATGCCTTGTCTACACCACAAGATCCGTACAGTAGGGAATGAGATACTGACATAGCCACACCAAATGCCTCATGAAAGATGGACATGCTCAGAATGGCTTTAGCAACCACAACCTAATTTTCGGCTGGAATGGCCGAGCCCCGAGACCGCGACCTAATCAGCTTCGAAATAATAATAACACCTTTACCGCCCAATTTTTGTGGAGCTGGAGCACTAGGATGAAACTACGTCTATGCCAAGACAAACACTGCCAAATGCAGAACCGGGTGCTGACATACCGACCAAGATGTCAAAGTTACTAGAGTCGTGGCTTCAGATATGGCGAAAGCGTCGTACAGGGACATTTTTCTCGTGGTATTTTCGGTGGCTTGCTTTGACCTTGCTTCACAATTTCAAACCTTCCAGGGAAGAGCACTCCTCCGTAGCATCATTGGAATGGTTGTGAGAATTGTCTCGTTGGAAGCGTCGGGAAAAGCGGCTTAGTCTTCAGAAATTTTAGAAAATATGTTTCTAACAACAGGGTATCAAAAATTCCGTGTGGCACAAACAACAAGGAATTAGTTATGCTACTTTCGATCGCCAACCACCGCTCAAGTACGGAAAGCGATATCGATGCCGTCGGCTTATAAGTATTGATACCAGATGGAGAGAGCAGGCTAGTGCGCAGCTGCGCAACTAAACCTGCCCGCTCCCACATTCTGACAAACAGTCTTGGCTGTATGTACTAGATTCGGTGCGGCGCATCAGAGCGGACCCCGAAATTCAAATCTTCCAGCTGATGCTGGCTCTCAACAGAATCGGCCATCCGGAACTGTTCAATCAGCAAGCCAAGCAGGAACGCTGTAGCCGAAACGCAGGTAAAGAGCTGGTAGACACCTCTCAGGCCGAAAATGTAAGCATCCACGACTTGGGACCTGACCAGGTCGTCGGCCGGAAG